CACAGAAACAGTGACTTGTTGACTGGAGCCGGAAATGTGCCAAAGATGCATCTATTACACAACATGCAATAAGTCAGTAAATTCACTTTTGGATATCAAATTCAACTTTTCTGGGACACTGCCCATGGGGCCTTACATAAAGTAACCCTGATCACTACTGGATTTTGGAAGTATCACTGGCTCCCTTTAACTAACAGAAGCCCTCATTTGATATCATAGGAAATTAGATTAAAAAGAGAACGAGACGGAAATCCCAAAGAGAGGGCAGTGTCAGCATGCTTTCCCTCTGCTGCTTGCAACATTATGAAATTGGAATGGCAAGCACTACCACCAATATATTTTGAACATCTATTTAACACACCAGCATAATCCCTTAATTAGCTTCCTCACAGAAAAAAAGGAAAAAGCCATCTACAGCATCACTCTATCTGGCAGATGGGCTCACCATTCAAGGTAATGAAATAAAAATTAATTTTCATTTCTCCTACTCACTGTATATGAGGCTTGGTCCTCATACAGCTATCTATCCCATTACAAGGTGCAGCATTACATATTAATGAAAACATGGGCCATCCTCGCAAATGATGTTCTCATTTCTATTCCAGCCATTCTCAGATGTCCAGGACAAGAGGCCAAGTGCAGACCACATGGCATGTTCTGACACATGTTCTGGCCAAACACGAGCAAGAAATTTACTTTGAAGACTCTGACAACAATCTTCCTGTGAGGTTTGCCACCTCCTGGGGTGGGAAGCCTGCCTCATTCCTGGCAGCGTTGGAATCTCTCAACCCTACGATGAGTTGAATTCAACCTTGGCAAGATCGCAGTCCCAGGCAACTGGTTTTCACATTCCAGCTGACTCAAATTAGCTTCAAAAGATTTACTAGAAAATAAGGTGGAGAAATGTTTTAACCAGATTCAGTTAACCCACTGACCAACATCCTCTACCATGCCAAATTCTTCTAGCTTAATATGCAAAGCTCACAACACTCTCTAGAGCAGCTCCCCAACTGGCACCATCAGAATTGAGCCCTAAATACCTGAAATCTGAGCCTTAAATACCACTTACTCAAGCTTTGCCAGGTCAAACACTACTCCTTGCATGGCTGTCCCAGGCTGTGCATTCCACTCAGTCAGAAAACAAGGTCTCTACCCAAGGGCAGTCTTCCCTTTGAACGCACGAGTTTGTTAGGCACTGTCACCTTGGTTATATGCACTGCCAGATCCATCTCTGGGACGCTGCTGCTGAGGCCCACAAACCAGTAAGGAAGACAGCAAGAAACATCAGCTTGCATACAACATTGTGTAATGACAGCACTGGGGCTCAGCTAGAGGAGTCCAAGCAGATTCGCCTAGGGAATCAAACTGTCTGGGTAGGCTCCCGTTAGCTCTAGGATATAAGAACTCTCCTCAAGCGGTATGAAGTTTTTAAATGGCATGTGTAACAATAAAAATCCCGGATTCTTATTTTAGTCTACACAAGTGAGCTTGTTTAACTACAACTTTAAAGAATATTTCACTATAAATGTGCTCAGACATTCTATTAACTATTTAAATGCACATAAAGATCAATATATACCCTCAATATACCCTCATATCATTAGTTCTTGATCATATGGAAAATTTTCTTTACGTGTAAATAAGCCCTATCAATCAAGGCATATAGGACCTAAGCAAAAAGCTATTGACATGCACCAACTGTAGAGACAGTTTAATCTTAATATCAAGATGATTTAGTTATCAATATGGAGCACTCGAAACAAATTTCCAGCTAGGAATTTTTTTAATAAAAGTACTTACAAATGCAAAGTGTGAAGCATAGCAAAAACTAAGACAAAAAAGTGGTATTACGAGCTATCCCCAGGAAATGCTTTTACTAAATAGCAGCCTATTCTGTCTTCAAATACAAGTTTCAAGCATCTCACAGTCAGCAATTCTTGTCCTGAAGTTTTTTATTAAGAAGAAAATCCTGGATAAGGAAAATGGGGTTTAGAATGGACAGAAATTCCTAAGCGCTCAGGTGCATAAGAAAAACAATCCTAAAGAGAAATGCAACTGTTCGTTTTGTCGAGAAGCAGAGCTACCACGCATTAGAAGAGCTTAATATAAATGTACAATAAATGTATTGACCCTTCAAAAACACCCTAATGTGAGGAAGTGCTAAAATTGGGTGATTCCTGCTCATTATTAATACTGAAATACATGCCATAATTGCGAACCTTTGTGTGGCTCCTTCCCAGGTACTCATGCTTCCTGAGCAATATTGCTGTTCCCCTCTGCGTTGGTGCTTTAGGGATCCCTCCTGCCATGTGGAGGCAGGAGAGCCTCACCTTTGAAGGAGCACTGAGCAGAAAAGGGGCCAAACGACTAGGTGAGATGGGAACATCTGTCAGGAAAGGGTAATCCCGGCCAACGGACGTTCTTGTTGTGCAAACATGCAAATCAGTCAGCACCTCTGGCACATCTGTAAACAAGCAGCTGGCAACTTTCAATATTGGTATCTGATTTAGATTCAAACCATTAAATTATCTGTTCATGGCCAAGTACCTGCACTTCTGCTTTACTGAGCTGGGACCCCCATAGTGCCCCTGCTTGGATCTGCATCCGCACTTGGACACCACACAGTAAACACGAGCAACTGCAGAACGATCTTCTTGCCTCCCCGGCAAGCCAAACCTTGCTGCGTTTCACTGGAGCTCTCCTAGGCAAATACAAGTTACCAACTGCAACCACTAACTAATAAATACTAATAAAGCATTTAAATTTGAATTTTGTTGAAAAGCACTTTTGCCAGCACAGCTGGCAAGAGTCCCCTTGATCAAACACTGCCTCCTTGCCAAGTACAACATAGGTAGAATTATGATCAGCCAGCAGAGACAAAGTAATACACAGATGTGCAAGCACCACTGAAAAAGAGCAAGTTTTTCAAAGCTTGCATTTAATAAACTGAAATAATAGGAGAATTCTGCCTAGAATTCCCTTCTCCGGCCTTGTCACTTTCGGAATACGTGCTGGTAATTTCTTGTCAAGCACACGGTGTGTGAACAGCCTCGGACACTGCTCCCGAGCTAAACCGGCGCCCTGCGAAGGCCTCCAGGTCATGTCAACTGTGGGGGGTCAGAAAAAACAGTACTGGATGTAAGCATGCCCCTAGCCCCTAAGGTGGTTAAATACTGGTTAACTATCATCTCCCTTTACTTAAGGCTAGCGACAAAAAGCTGGGAAGAACTGGAAGGTGACCACCATGAACGTGCTGATATGAGGAGAGGAGAGATACTGGAAATCCGTCGCTTCCTCTGGCCAGTTAGAACCCTCACACTGAGATGCCTGTTGGCATGAGAGCCACTGCAGGTCTTCTCAGAGAGATCACATCAGTGTGGAAATGTGAAGGATTTGCCGCCTCAGGAATTGAAGCGCTTCATACCGGACAGAGAAGTGAGGAATGTGAACAGTAATTTGAGATACATGAGAAGATCATCCCTCTAGATGAAGGAATGCCTTCATTTCCAAAGCTTCTGTGATCCCAGATCTACTCCTCCAGCTGACCACAACTGCAGTGACTGGATTTCAGTGAGCAACAAATCTAGGTGCACGAACATTCACTCCCCTGGGAGTACCCACAATACTTCGCCAAATCTGTTCATTCCTTTCAGGTTTGTTCCTAGTAATTTATTCAAGCCAGGTACAGCAGCATACTTCAGTCATCTGCTCAGAGAAGATAATAAGGCCATATGATTTAGCAGAAAAAAACTAAATCACACTGAGTGGTGGACAACAGAAACTGAAGACAGTTATTCAGCAAAAGATTTGAAAGTGGCGGAGAGACAAAAACAGTGCAGTACAGATGACTGAACTGGTGAGCAAAATGGTGGCAACGATAAGGCCAGCTTCC